CCCCCTCGATCCTTCCCGACGGTGCAAAGCGCCCTTTCAGAATGGACTCCTGAGAGAGGAGGGACACGTCAGGGACCTTCACGCACCAGCCCTGCCCCTCGCCACAAAGCTGCGGGGGAGATCCCCCCCATCTCCACCTCCTGTCCTGCTTGTCCTCGCGTGTTGCCCAGCTTTCTGGAGGCGACCTGTAAGAGGCCCTGGCTGCTCCCTGTGAGACAGACCCATTCCAAATTGGTGTCTAATGCAGAGAAGCAGCGGGAGCACCTCAGCTCAGACCTGCAGCAGCCATCTCAGCAGGGTCCCCTAAGGACCTGCTGGCTTGATGGTGGCTGTGTGACATGGCCACTGCATGCTAGGCCCTTGGAGACAATTGGCCCAGCCCCATTCCAGGGATTCTGTCAGGTTCAAGCTCCCACATCTGCTGCCAGCCCATCCTGGAACCCACGGGACCCACCTCCCCTCCCTCACAGGTGGGTGCTGTTACCTCAAAGTTGCCCAGCAGAGCATGGCTGATGGGGGTGGTGGCCCAGGGTGCTGCAGAGGACCTGGTGCCCCTCCGGAGGCTGCTCCGGAGATGTCGCCTTTGAGAGAGAAGAGAAGACTGGTGTCAGACTGGAGAGCATGTGGCCCCAGGCTGCCCCCACCAGGTCCCCCTGTCCCTTTCTTTAGCAGAGGTTGAAACCATTTTTCTCCTCACCAGGGGAAGAAGAATCCTCTCTATGCCTCACAGCCTGGGGTCTTGTGGAGGGGAGGCCCCTGGGGCAGGGAAGGGACTCAACGTGACCCCCCCTCAGGGCTGTGGGGTGCTGGGCACCCTGAGCCCCACCTCCACCCCACAGGGCTGCTGGGACACTCACGATTTGAGGCGCAGACCGCTCTTGAGCCTCCTCCCGACCGCAGTGCAGTCCGCAGAGCTCTGGAGGGGACACGAAACAGAACAGTGTCAGGGCAGCAACAGGAGACTGCACACTCCTGTGGAGGTGTCATGGCCCCTTGGCCCTGCCCCACGAGGGTCCCAGCAGATCAGAGAGGCTCCCATCCACGGGGAGC